GAGAGAGAGAGAGAGAGAGAGAGAGAGAGAGAGAGAGAGAGAGAGAGAGGAAGGAAAGCACACATCTGAGTGCGTCAAGTCAACGGGCAATGCATACAGTAGCATTGCAGGTCCACTTGAGACACAAAAGGCAGACAAAGGCAGATAAATGACACAAGACAGCGAGGCACAAAAGACAGTGGAGCGAAGGACATAGGCTAGAGGGCATGGGGGAGGTGGGTTGGCAGACAAACAGCACGAAGGAGCAAGCCGAAAAAGTAGCAAGGCACAAACAAGGCAAATAGGGGAAAAAAAAACAAGTCCAAAAAAAAATTAAAAAACTCAAAGACTGAAAAAAAATAAAACTGATGATGAAAGGTCGTTTCCCAAGCTGCGGAATCTGCAGAGTCTCGGAGTTGCAGCGAGACTCATCAGGAGGCTGAACCCTCCATAATCTGCAGAATCTCGGTATTGACGGTTTCGGTCATGAACCCTTTGACCCATGTTGAGGGCAGACTGTCCCCAAGCGGAACATAGCAGCGGGCAGCAACTCAGCGAAGCACCACGCAACTCTGCTAAGACAACACAACTGCAAGGAACAACAGGGCAAGCGGACGACCAGCACGGCAACCGCGCAGTGAAGCACAAGGCAAGACCAACAAGGCAGCCAAACTACAGGGCACACAAGCAAAGGACGCAGAAGGCACGGCATGCGGATGGGCGGAAAGGCAGTAGAGCAGCGAGGCACAAGGCAACACCAACTCTGCAGGCACACCACACAGTGAACACCGCAGCTTGCAAAGAATGACATGTAAAGCAAGTGGGATGGGAAGCAAGGCAATGGCGAAGAACAGACAAGGCAGTTCTACACATCCAACAGACAGCAAAGCAGCATATCACCTACTTGCATCACGGGTGAACCCTGCAGACTGTTGGTTCCCACCACACGCTCAGCCAGGGAGTCACTCCGACGAACATCCGTCACCACCCATAGGGCAGACAGACATCCTGAACTGAGTTCCCCCCTAAGAGTGCTGCAGGCATTCCAATCAAGGAATGACCGACTATTTGGCACTGCTTAAAGGTGCTCCCTTAGACCGGCAAAAAGTACTTTGTGAAAAATCGAAGGAAGAAAAACACAAACAAGACAGCAAAAGACATATGCGAGGCACAAGGCCTTGATAAGCCCCACTGGGCCCTATTTGCAGCAGCGTCGGCCGCCCTAAGTGAAGGCAGGCCCGACAGATCCTCAGAGGCCTATTTTGGACTACTTCGCAACTGGGGAAATTCAGGCAGTTGCGCTGCGCCAGTTGGTTGGAAGCGCCCAGGCCCTGGCTTTCTTTATCAAATGCATCTGAGTCAGGCCCTGGGCGAGATTCGCAACATAGGCCCAACTCAGGATGCGAGCAGTTGGGCACAGGTAACTGTCGGCAGCCCTGGGCCAATTCGTTTGGTCTGGGCCTCAGTCTACCTGGGCCTACCGGAAGCTTCTTGGGAAAGGCCCAACGCAGCCTGGGACAGAATGCAGGCAGGCCACTTCCATATAGCAAAGGGCCTGCCTCCGCATTGGAGATTCGGGCACTGGCTGATGGTGCGCAAGCGCTGCTGCACTATCGCCTGCCAGGCTCACGGGCGAGCTGGAAGGAGCAGGCAGCCATAGCCAAGCTGCGCTGCTGTAAGCTGGATGGGGCGCAGGGTGGTCCTTGGGTGCAAGTGGCATCTGTGAGTTGGGGAAC